AATATTCTGCGTTGTGATATACTCTTCCCTGAAAATATTTCGTTCCACAAGAACTTCTGATTCACTTAAAATTGAATCGAAATTTGTAGGGACGTTCGTTACGCTATTAGTGCTTGTAAATGCAGGAGTATTTTCATAGTACTCCTCTGTACTTGCAGCTTTTAAGCTTGTTAAAATTAATGAAGGATTCGTTGTAACTTCGAACGGTACAATTGCGTCTGTAAATGAATCTTCCGAGGTCGTGACTTCAAATTCGTTAATCGATTCTTCAGTATTTTCTCCTGCTGGAGTGGTACTATGGTCACGTTCCGCTGTGCTTGCAGTATCGTTATCAAGTTTAATTATTAATGAATCAGTGGTCGTATCTACGTTTTCAACACTTCTCGTCGTACCCTCTTCCTCGTTCAGATATACTATTTTACAAATAATCGTCGTTCTCTTCTCTTCTCCTATCGGTTTCGAACGACGTACTAAATGTCTACCTTCGTTCAAAATTTGAATACTCGGTGGACATGAAAGAGGCAACGTGGAGTCGTCGCAAGTACTCGAAGGCGAACACATCCCGTTGTTCACATCGTACATCATTTTCTTTGGGCATCTGTAGAAATTTCGATTCATCCCAAAGAATTTCTTCCTGCAGGTGTAAAACAAGGCGCAGTCATTCGGAACTGGGAACGAGCCTGGGCTCTCGCACACCGGAAGTTCATTTGAATTCGATGGATCGGCAATCGGAATGTATCTGTCTCGAGGAACGAGGACGCATTTCTGCAAACGGTCTTCGAAGTGTCGCCCGTCGGGGCATTGCGCTAAAATCATTTTATTCCCCGTGCAGATGTAATAATATTTCGGGCTGGCGCAGTGAGGCTTTAAAGCGTTTACTCCGCAGGATGTTGAACTGTTTATGTGAAGCACTTTACCGCCGCCTATTACGTTCATACATTTGTTTTTTTCCTTGTCGAAGTATTGGTTGACTCGACAGAGCGGAGGATCGGATTTCAAATCTCTGGCGTACCTGTGTGCTCCGTATTCTATGATATCTGTGTCGTCAATCCCCTGTAGGTATAATTAGTAGTTCGTTTATAGGAACTGCAAGCACTAATTGAATCGATGAATTATATGAAAAAAAAAATTAAAATCTCCAGAATGTACAGAAAATACTTAGATGAAAGCTCGTGAATGTATGATAGTAGAGTGAATAAAAACTCACGGATTCCTTCACTGGCTGACTGACTACGATCGAAATTACGAACGAACTTAACACCACGAGAATCTTCATTTTAATGGAACTATAACTGTGTACACGTTTCGATCGTTGCCAAAAGTTCTCTGAGCTCTAAGGTGAAACGCTTCGGCATTTTTATATCGAAGACGTGCTCGATAATAATTACGATTAACGTCACTGCCACGAATGCATAGTGCGTACAACAAACGTATTCTCGGGAAGAGGAGAGATTGCATTCAAATTTAAATTGCTGCTTCAATTAAAAATTGTTTAATCAACTCATACCTGAAAGCGTCCGCGAGCACGTTTCACAGTTTTCGGAAGAGGACCGAGTAATCGCTTGAGATCGTGATTAAATTATTTAAAAACTGCATCGGTTCAAAGATAAGTGTCGGCCAGGGAACAAAGGGGGAAACAAATGTAATTAGAAATAAAAACAAATATTTATTACAGGACAGTATTGGCAAATAGTTAATAAGTCAGTAACAAATCTTTATAAACAGTATTTCGTTGAAATAAATATCTACAAGACGATCCTTTCCTCTTACTTCCTCGTTAAAATACCATACTCAGTAATCGGTTTCCAAGTTATGCTGGAAATAGGACTCGATTCTAGGATTGTATATCGTTGCTCGTGATTGAACCCCTGTACAATTTCTGCCTACGCTCCTCGTCGATATATATATTTATATATTCAACAATCGTATTGCGGGACTCGGTAGGTAAAGTTGTTACTCGTCACGATATGAATCCCTGCACCGTAGTACGGCATTACGTAGTGAGAACCATCGGCGGGTCCTACGATTTGCGTTGCGATAAGTATTACGTCGGCGAACTGGCCGAGGAAAAGAAATCCTAAGGTACTCAGCTTGAGGAAGCCCATCGCCGGATACCCTAGGTAAAATCGGTCTGCACCGAACATGCCAAGGAATATAGATAGCAACAACGACGTTTCGAAGGAATATCCATTTCTATAAAAATCAGAATATCATTTTAGTTGCTTTGTTAAGAATGGAACAAAGGAACAGGAATTAGTAGATCAATCAAGATTGCTCTGGCTATATGCTGATTGCAATGTTAAAAAATATTAAAAGACGAGTCTGCATTCTTTAAACTGATACCCCGAGTGATCTGTTTCACATAAAACTCTGCAGTCTCGTCTTATAGCAAACAAATTACACTTAAATTAATATACTTACGTCCATTTACAAGGAATGTCCTTTTTAAATGTGTTATTTTTTGTTTCTGTACAAATGAGGCCATCCGCAGCCAGACACAACACTAGTAACAAGATAACAAATATATAATTTCACCTGATTTACACACGACACTGTACGCATAAAGCAACTGAGGATCTTGGTTCGAGGAACGTGAAACAGAGGTTCAAAACGCTTAAGAACGACGAACGGCTCGAAGCTTTCGTCGGGAACAGGTTAGGTCGATCATCGATCACGGTTACAAGGGTGAAATGAAATAATAAAAAATACAAATGTCCCACATACCTTTGGCTTTGTTCTCCTTCGTGCAGCCTTTCGGCTGTTGCGTTTTCGGGTCTATGAAATCATAGTCCGGATGAGGGCAGATGTACTGTCCCATTCGTAGGTTATTACAGTCAACTTCGTGCGTGTCCATAGCATTGTTCGGCGGTACGAGAAGCAGCAGCAGGAGGAGTACGCTAAGGAATCGCGTCAGATGGAACATGCCGTTTCATTTTACAATTACTACGGATAACACACTGTCACTGGATCCACTGTTCCTCGCACTTCCTCGACTTCCCGTGCATGTTTATTGTATTTTGCAGTATTTTGAACGAACCCAGTCATAACACGATTCCCCTCGAGCGCCAGCTACTATGTATCCCGGCCAACTAGCCTATCCCTTCCCTTCTCTTACCAATTGTTCTAATATATTATTAAAAAATCTCTGGTTTAACGTATTCCCATCAAAAAGATGTAACTTCAAGTAATTACAAACAAATGTTTAGTCTTTTATGTACCGTTTATATCTTCTTTAGTAGCACTAACACTTTAATTAAGTACGACACACGACAGGACTGCGGCACCCTCGAGCGCAGAAACTGAGCGCGAAAACCTGATTACGTCGCTCATCGATCGAGAGATCGAACTGCTTATTGAACGTGAATCGATTATTCAAAAATTCAAAGGATTCACGCTGTGCATAATAATAATTGATTCGAGTACTGTTGATAGTTTAATTAAGTCTATCGAGGAAGTTCGTACATTTATTAAATATTAAAACACGTGGTTTAATTTGTATATGGAAAATGGGGAAAGCGCGTTAACAGGAATTGAATAAAGATTGTATCGAATTGCAGTTTTCCTGAGATCTGTACAGGCGCGAACGTGTGTGACTGCGTAAGTGAAACAGAGATGCTTGTTTAAGGGTGGGAACGTACGTACAAACAGTGGAAGACCGCGGTTCAGCATTTTGTTCTGCATTAAAATGGCTACTTCCTCGTTGAAAAGCACCCGGAAAACGTACAGCTTCGAGGAGAGGGAGATTCTGATAGCGCTGATAAACAAGTACGAAGATATCGAGGATAAGAGGTCCGATCCGATATCGATGTATAAACGAAAATCGGCATGGTCCCAGTTGGCCAACGAATACAACTCGATGGTGGGTCCGCAAGGAATTCGCTCGGCCGTACAATTGAGGCGTTGCTGGGAAAATATGAAAGCGTGTAAACGGAACAGGGAAGAGAAGAAATTGCGGTAAATTTTATATTTCACTTCCGGTTCTACTTGACCAACCGTAACGCAATAAAAAATCATTTGAGCTTTACGAATTTTATATATTATTATTATTATTATTTAGATGTTTCATTTTATCTGATATTTCATTATTCTTTTTACCAGTGGTATATCTAAAAGTTTCTGTCACATAGCGAAAGATCACGTGCGATCTAAAAGCTGGGAAGGTAGGAATTCAGTGCCGGAAGTGACCGGAACGATTGGTTTACCGCCGAACGTCGTGTTCGAGCCGAAAGAGTCCGAACCGTTCACGCTGCAAAGCGTTTGCACTGTAAAACCTCCAAGACAAGCGATGAAAGAAGAAATTAATCAGAAGGATTCAGGTTGAATTTATTACCTTCTCTGTTCCTTCGTAATTTTCCATAGTAAAACTTGGTTCTCGACAAAGTTCGTTAAGAATTTTTTCAATTTCTATTGAAAATTTCTTTCAAAGACTTATATCAAGTTTCACAATTTTGTTCTTTTGAACGGCTTTGATGTCAAAGTAGAATTTAACGACGTTCACGAGCTAATTCAGTTCGCATTCAACGATCCCTTTTTCCTTTTAGACTCCGCTAGTGGCAAAATAGAATCTGATTCGTTACCGAACGGTCCGACGATCGACTGCCTCGATAAATCCACCAACGAGATGGACTCGTTGTCAGAGCAATTACACAAGGACGAGACAGCTGATAAGAGTCAGCTGATCTTTAAATCGAACGCGACCCAAACGTTGGTCTCGCCTTCGATTGTTCACGAGCAGCCTCGTAGGACGAAAAGATCTCTTCACAAAGAGGAGGATCTGCACGTATTGGCTCTGTCTGAGGCACAGATGAAGGTCGACATCGCTGCTATGTTGAAAGAGGAGGCCAGGATTAAATTAGAGGAGGCTCACTATCGTAAGGAGGAGGCCAGGCTAAGGATGCTCCTCTTTACGTACAAGCTCGATAGGATAAAAGAGGATTGATCTCCAGAGGATGCAATCTTCCCCGTGCAATGGTCTCTCCTCTTGTTTGTCTCCTCATTTTTATAGAAATATGTATCACGCTCATGTAGGGACGAATAGTATAGAATTTCTGTTGTATCTGTTTATTGTCATAGCAATTCATTTTTAACTACAGTTGAAATCGTAATAAATAAAAACTCATACGCTAGTCACTTAAGATATGCTGATATCATTTTTTAAACAGGTAATTTCTCCCTATGTATGACGTTTTATATAAACGATGCAACTTAAAATTAAATGTATAATTCAAAAGAATTTCTTAAACAGAGACGTAGTTATGAGAAATAAAAAAAAAAAAGGAAGCTTCGGTATTATTTATGGACATGGCAGTCGTAGCTGGCAATAAGTAGGTCAATTTGACTAGTGAAGTAAAATAATAAGGAGAAACTAAATGACAGATCACAAGCATCGAAATGAGATCGATATCTATTGAAATAGACTGTGCAATGAAAATTTGAATAGTGAATTTTCGTACATGAATATAATGCTTTATGTGGAATATACAAAAAACTATCGGTATTTCTATTTCATTCTGATTATAACAGTACGTACATAAATAATAATTCGTTTCGAATCGATCGAATCGACACCAATTAAGTTACATCATTTTGAACTATATACGTCAATTTTATTCTAGCTAATATTGCAATTTTCTTTTCTATATCTGTGCATCGATTCGATCATCGAACGTAAAATTGATCCTTACATGAGATGAAAATTATCATCGCGTTTCGGCGAAGAGCAGCGAGCGACTTCGAACAGGGACGGGTCGGTGTAGATCGGTTCGCTGGGGTCGAACCCGGTTCTCCTGGACGACAAACCTACGGCACCCTCGAGGGCGGTCGGAGACGAGGTCACGCGTTGTCCGATCACGTTGCTCACCGATCGAGAAATCGATCTGCTTATTGAACATGCATCGAATTATGACATTAAGAAATAACGGAATCAGTTAACACTAGAAAGACTGAAACTTAATATATACCTATATTGCCCAAAGCAGTAAAAATGACTGCATTGTGAAAGAATAATGTGTAAAGAAATTTGTCTAAAATTAATTTTTAATAT